CAAAAAAAAAGAACAATCCTCATGCCCCCCCTCCACCATTTTCCCCTCTTTCCCGCCCCCCAAAAGTAAAAAAAAAGTATCTTCCTTTCCCCTCCAAAATCCCCCATTTTTAACATTATAAATAAAAGAAAGCGAGAGCATTCAGCAAGAGACAACAGAGGGGCAGAGAGCCATATAGATCGATATCAATGAGCGGCAGACTATCCCAGGGGCCCTTCCTCACACATCTGTAACGTTATGGAGGATGCCTGGGCCCGGCCGCTCATCTGTACCACCCCCCTGGGGGACCTGTTTGCATACTTACACACTCATAAACAGCCCGGTGTGCGGATGGGAAGGTCGTACTGTGCGCTGGTGGGTGAGACTTGTGGGGTGTGTGTGTGTGTGGGGGTGGGGTGGATTGGGGGAAGGGCGGGATGGCGGTCCATAGATGTGAGAAAACGGACTAAAGGGTATCGTTTCTTTCTTTTCCGTAAACTTTCTTTCTTGTTTCTGTTATAAAACAAATTATTCTAAATTGTGTTTCTGTCTAGTTTCTGTTCTTTAAAAACCGTTCTAAATTTGTATGCATTCAAACATGGTTGTGTTTTTCCTGACAGTAAACATAGAAACGAATCAGTAACGGCATTAATATTCCCGATGGTCAGTAGAACTTCAAACCCATGCGCAAATTCCTTGGGCATTTGGTCAAACTATAACTAATTTATTGCAAAGCAAATGTGGGCAGACGAATTCAAAATTAACTGAAGAGTTTAAAAATTTTTTACAAATGTTGTCGACTAACATCGCAAATGTTTTCTGCTCTATAATCCTACGTTGCCATCTAAAGTCATTGGTAATTGTAAAGCTCCAACGCCTCTCTTCTTTCACGGCTGTACAGTCTTTCAACAAACGGAGACCCCGAATCTAACGTTCGTCTGCTATAGTACCGTGACAATTGTTTGGAGAGCCTTGACATTCTTCCCCAAACAAACCAAGTTCAGATCGCCCCATTGGGGATTCAAACCAAAACAATGCCCCCCCCCCTCCATTTGCTCGCCATAATACCAACTAAACCAACAGTGCACTCTCATCAAGGAGGTTATACATTGTTGTAATTGATCCTCATAGAATATAGAATATTATAGGTTTTTTTTTAGGTAAGACAGCCTTGGCCCTCATCTAGGCCTTCCAGATACTGAGAAGGCCTAGGTCCTCATCCAAAGGGATGGATGAACAAGTCAGCAAAGACGTCCTGGGGACTCTCGTGGCCCAGAGGTTAAGGTGGTGGCCTCTCATTTAAAGGTCCCGGGTTCGAATCCGGGTAGCGACCAAAACATTTTCTTCTCTAAAATTGTCTCCTTTCACCTCCTTTCCTGCTCTCTAGCAATGTTCTGTTGTCTGCTTTCATTTCCACTTTCTGCCCCCACCGCCTCACCTCTTTGCCCCCTCCTCTGGGCTCCTGGCTCTTTCTGCAGCCTTTCTACTGTTACTCCATGGCTCTTCTTTACTGCTGTCTTTCTGCCACACCCCTGATCTTCTGGTAGGAAATATCTACACCTAGCCTTCTCGGACAATGGCGAAAAATCTCGGAGGGCCTGTGTGCAAGTTGCGCACGTTAAAGATCCCTTGGTGGTCTAAAATCGACAAGAGTAGGCTTCGGCCGCCACCCGGACAAAATTCCAAATTTCCTACAAACTGAAAATATTAGCTGTGTTCCGCGCGCTCATATGACCTTATGCAGTTGCGAGCGCCGTCAAACACTTTACAAAAAAACCCAAAAGCCCTCTATCTTCTTTCTAGTTCTGTGCGCGGGTTGTGCCGGGTGAAGCAGAGCCTGAGCCCTGAGCGGGTGACGGGTGGCGGGAAGTTTATAGTCTCCAGCTATACTATCAGATGTAATGATTACGATCAGCATTGGCTAGCCTTCTGTCGTGATCAGTGTGGTAGGAGAGACAATGGCCGTGGCACAGACGGGATGACCATTATAATACATATTGTATGTTGTTTTGTTACCGCTGCGTCTTTGTCGATATCCCTCTATTTGATCTTCTTCCTGGCAAAATTAAGGAGTTTCTTCTTCTTCTACTTGTTCTTCTTCTTCTTCTTCTTCTTTCTTGTTTTTGCTTTTGTTATCTGTTCTTCTTTTTCTTCTTCTTCTTTTTACTGTTCTTGTTCTTGTTCTTCTTCTTCTTCTTCTTCTTCTTTTTCTTCTTCTTCTTCTTCTTCTTCTTTTTCTTCTTCTTCTTCTTTTTCTTCTTCTTCTTCTTCTTCTCCATTTTCTTCTTCTTCTTCTTCTTCTTGTTCTTCTTCTTCTTCTTCTTCTTCTTCTTCTTCTTCTTCTTCTTCTTCTTCTTCTCCATTTTCTTCTTCTTCTTCTTCTTCTTCTTTCTTGTTTTTGCTTTTGTTATCTGTTCTTCTTTTTCTTCTTCTTCTTTTTACTGTTCTTTTCCTTCTTCTT